GAAGGAGGCTTTGCTGCCCTGCCGCAGCTCCCTGGGAGCTGGCTGAGTTTAACCAATCCCATTAACCGATAAGCAGCAGCTTCGGAGTTGAACGGTTAATCGGTTTTACTCTAATGTCCCTAGTTTCGACAGTATGTTTAATGTGTCCTGCACCTGGTCTGGAGAGAGCTCACCAACTCAAGGTTCCAGGCCATGCTTCAGTGAGAAATCGTACGTCTCCTAGCATGTTCCCCATGCGTTTGTGGGAAGGGGTGAAGAAAACAGGCAATGAAGGAGGTACCTTGCATATGTTCATAGGTGAGTTGTCTGGTTGGGGGGAAAGGAAGGAAAGAATACTGAATTTTGTAAACCAGGGCAAGAAGAACAATTTACAGTGAATGACACTTATCAAATGTAGTTTCTTTTCTGTTTGTGAATTCTCTGCCAATGGAGCGTAATGTCCAGGAGTTAGCTCACTGTTTGCATTTATGCAAATGATTTGTGCAAACACATTTCAGTCCTTGAGTAGCTCTCCAATAGAATGTAAGTTTGGGATATTTACACTTAGGACTGCTTTGCCTGGCTGCTGTAGATCCCATGGTTTGTTTCTGTTCCATGAACAGATGAGTGCAACTCTAGCATGAAGTTTCTGGTGTGAATCCATTTGATTGCTAATTCAAATTTACGCTCTGTGAATATTCTGGAATGCGTGGCTGATTCCTTGTTGGGGGCATTTCCCAAACTCTTCTGTCAATAAATGTATCTGCTGGAGTATTTGTAGAAAGTGAACACCCAAGAAGGACAGACCCATTCAGTGTGAATCAGTGTAAAATTATCAGAGGGGGAGCTGTGTTAGTCTGAATCTGCAAAAGGGGCGAGGAGTCCTGTGGCACCTTATAGACTAACTGAAGTGTAGGAGCATAAGCTTTCGTGGACAAAGACCCACTTCGTCAGATGCAAGTGTAAAATTGGGAATGAAAGCTTGCATGTGGAAGTTGGAATAATCTCACTGGTCACTTTCTCGATGGATGAAAGGACAAAACTTAAACAGAAAATTGCTGCTGTGAAATCAGCTTAAATTAGCTACCACACACGCCCGCTGCTGTATGAATACTTTAGGGCTGCAGATTTGATTTGATTTTTAATTTTGAGCAAACGCATTGAAATGGAACGAGTTAACCTGTCTGAGAACAGGAGTTTCACTGCTCGCGCTCCTGTGTCACCTCTCTGTTCTCACAGCCGGGGATTGGTGTCGTGCCACATGCTGACCTGAAGGACGATTTTCCCCAAGGAGAATAACTGAGACATTGGCGGCTGTGGAAGTGCAGGAAGAACGGGCTTGCGACTCACATAGGGGATCCAGGCCATGTGACAGTACCAAGTGTTTAGTGCAGAAGGGCTCTAGTGCCAGGTTGTTCCCTAACCAACCCCTCTCTGGAGGAGAACAGATTGCTGTCGTGAACTGCAAAGCAGCAGGTTTTGTGATTAGAATTCAGTGAAAGTCTCAGTTCAGTCAGTTTCCTTTTTTAAATAGGATTGTTCCACTCAGAGTTTAAACCCTGACATAATTGAGTTCTTTAGTGCTAATTGATAATGGGCAAAAATAACATGGTTCTGTAGTATTTCGGGGTTTAGTCCCTGTCAATGGCTTCCTTCTGCAGGCTGGATACAGTTCAGAGAGCCAGGGATCTACGTCCAAATTCAGATTTGGAAACTGATTCCTTCCAAGGTTTTAGGTCAGTTAGCTTTTTTTCTAGCTTGAAAAATGTGTGTGCTGCTTATCTCTCCTGCTGGGTAATGCTTTGAGGGTGAGGAGGGCTGCTCTAGTGCTAAAAAGCAGCATTTGATGTTGCTAATCAGCCCCAGAGTAGCCATCTAGCTGGGTCTTTTCTGCCTTTTAATTCCTGGCCTATAAGAAAAGATGATGCAACCAGAAGGTTGGTTGCTGACTGTTCTCTTGCTGCGGCGCGTGGCAGACCGGAGTCCAGCTTGCTCTGCAGCGCTGATAGACGTTCTATCTGGGTTTGGCAGTGAAGGAGCTGCGAGGAGCGATTTGCCACTTTTCTCTAGTGCTTCCTAACGCAAGCATGCCCTGAACTCTTGGGTAGGTTTGCTGTACAGGAAAATGCTTCATTATGTATAAAACCACCCCTCCTTCCTGAATGACAGTGCCCCGTGTGCCCGGAGTGCTTAGTCCTTTGCCTGTGGCCAATCAGCGTTGAAGGCAATTAGTCAGTTTCAGCTGTTGCAAAAGTATCCGAGCAGCTGAGGCTTTTTGTTTTACACTAGAAAGAATCCAAACTTTCCCGTCAACGCGTCAGCAGGCATTTCGGCGCAGGGCTTGTGGGCTGCGCTGAATTCCAGCTTGTGCCAAGTGCTGAAGGTTGAAACATGTCTCACTGCTAAGCTCTCCTCCAAGCCTTTGGCAGCCTTGCTGAAAAAGCAGGTGGTCTGCAGCGATGGTTCCCTATGGGTTCTCACACTGCACACAACACATCGAAGTGAAAGACAACTGTCAGTTCCTTCCTTCCCGTGCTCCCTCTCCCCCACTCCCTGCGGGGGGGCGGGGAACACGCCAGGCCCAGATGGATGTGCTGGAAACCTTTCAAAGTTTTTATGAAGGGCATGTTACAACATAGTCACAAGGCATTAGGAAACTAATCAGATGAGACAGGCACTGATTCCAGGCGCAGAAAGTGGTCACATTGTTGAGGCAAGCTGATACGGATTGCATTGTCTCACGTTGCTCATTTTGGGTCACAGACTTAACGAACTACATGCCAGTGTCCTCAGAGCAGCAGCAGTAAGCATCTGTAGTCTCTGAATATGGGCTTACTGGCTCTTGGTTAAGCAGTCACTCTGGAGACTTGTCTCTGCTCCAGGAGAGTGGAGTGCTATCTCCGTGTCAATCCTAGTGGAAACAAGACACAGACAGTCTTTACTGGTGTAATTACAGGTTGAACCTCTCTAGTCCGGCACCCTGAGGAGCTGGCTGGTGCCAAACCGGAGAATGTGCTGGATCCCGGAAGGTTTTCAAACTCCGACTGGTGACCCAGTAGTGGGTAGTGGAATGCCGGGCGCTGGGGCTCATTGCTGCAGGGGATGAGATGAGCAGCGGAGGAAGGGGGGGGCCAAAGCAGCTCCCTACCTGGCCTGGCACCGCAGTCTGTGCTGGTGCCCCAGAAGCGGCTGGCAGCAGGCCTGGTTCCTGGCGGGGCAAGAGAGCGCACAGGACTCCCTGCCCTGAGCTCCGCACTCCCACTGGCTGGAGACCTGCTGATGCCTGCAGCTGGATGCAGGGGATGAGATGAGCAGCGGAGGAAGGGGGGGGCCAAAGCAGCTCCCTACCTGGCCTGGCACCGCAGTCTGTGCTGGTGCCCCAGAAGCGGCTGGCAGCAGGCCTGGTTCCTGGCGGGGCAAGAGAGCGCACAGGACTCCCTGCCCTGAGCTCCGCACTCCCACTGGCTGGAGACCTGCTGATGCCTGCAGCTGGATGCTCAAGGTAAGCCTCTCCTGCCCCAGCCCTGACATCCCAAAGCTGGAGCCCCCTCCTATGCCCCATCCTCATCCTCTGCCCCATCCTAAAGTGCACACTCTAGTCAAATTATGTCGGGCATCAACAATTTTTTTCAACTGGGTCATGAGAAAAACAGCTTGAAAACCGCTGGCTAGTAGCATGCCAACACTGGCCCTGCTTCCTGGGCTCTGAGAAGAGACTGAGGGGCACATCAGAGCTAAATAACAGCACAGAGCCAGGCCTGGCGGCCGGAAACAAACCTCATGAGACCACAGGAAAACTTGGCCTTCCCCTTGCTAGATAGACACCCAGCTGATGGAACCCTGCCGGACCACGGATTTGCCAGGCAGTAGGTGTGACCTAGAGAGCTAGTGAAGCACCCGCCACTCAGGGTTGACATTAACTGGCTGTATCAAGATTGCAAACTTCTGTGCCACGTCTCCACTAGGAGTTAGTGAGCAGGGCACTGCCCGCCGGTGCAACGAGGGGTTGGTCTTTAAGGTAAAGTGGAATGTTTTGTAAAGACCAATTGTTTTAAGAACCCCAGCCCTTAGGAGAGCACTGCCCGGTGTGCGTGCGTATAGTGCATGGAAGTATTCCCCTGAACGCTTGCACGGCCTTTTCCTGTAGCCCTGTGCTTCTGCCAGGCTGCACAGCCTGTGCACAGACTGGAGGCGGCATTTGACACCTGCTGGGGCCTTGAATATTGAACCCTGAAACAAATGAGCTTTAAAAGTGTCTCCTTTCCTTGCCTGTCAGAGCCTGAGATTGTTCTTTTCACCAGCATGTGATGGCTTCACAGGCACCTCAAGCAGTGTAAAGGATGTAACTGCCTTGCCTGTGTGTGTGTGTGGGGGGGGGATTCCCCGGAGCGATGTGTCTGACCTCAGGCGCTGATGAGAGCAGAGATGTACAAGTCGCTGACTTTCAGATGCCTTTTTAAAAACCCAGTGGGGCCTTCTGGTGGTCTCTGGGTAGGATTTTTAAAAAGCATGTCAGGGTAGTACCTTGTGTGGATACTAAATTGGTATCTGCATCTGCAAAAATGGTCCGTGGATATCCCAGGCTACATCCACGACTAGACAGTGGATACCCGCAGATTTGCAGGGCTCTCGCTAAGGGACTTAGCCGCATAAATCATACAGACTTTCAGTGGGACTTTTGCTTTGGAGTCGCTTGTCAGCATCCCACCCACGTACATAGAGTGTGCTGGAGCGGGTAGGCTGGTGCTGCCTGGCAGGTTTAGTACCTGTGGAAAGATTTAACAAACAGCCAGACAAAAGCCCTTGGAACAGTGCATGTGCAGACTGGAACATGCTCCGTATCCAAGTGCTGCATGCAGAAGTTTGAACCTGTTCTCTTCGGGTTCTCACACCACCCTTCCCACTGCAGAACACCGTGGTTCATGCGTTCTCAGGGCAGCGTTGTGAGTTCAGAGGAGCCATTTGGTTTGGGAAGAGCTGAATCTTCACTGAGCTGTAAACTCTTTTTCCTCTCTTCACAGTTGCTAGCGAGAAGAGGGTGCCAGTGATGCCTGGGTCGCCCGTGGAAGTGAAGATACAGTCAAGATCTTCTCCTCCAAGCATGCCCCCGCTGCCACCAGTGAATCCAGGCGGACCTCGGCCAGTGTCCTTCACCCCTACAGCATGTAAGGCTTGTCTGGACATGGATCTGATCTGATGTTAGGAAACTGCTTTTCAACAGGACTCTTCATCTCGACGTAGAGGAAATGTTCCATTTTTAAAAGTTGCTGCAGCTGGTTTTGTGCGCTGAGACCCAGAGCAGAGAGTTAATTATGTCCTGTCAGGGTAGTGAGAATTGTGACGGGGGATGAAGCTATCCTACTCCATAGTTTCTCCAGTTCCTCTCCCTACTGGTGCCAAACTGGTCTCTGGATTACATTGACTCTGTGTTTTCCAGAGCACTGGGACTTGCGCTGCTGCCCTCTGAAGGCTAGTCCACAGACAGATGCCTGGAAGATCTCATTGCTCCTGCTTCATTCCTCCTCCTCCGCCCCAAATCATCTCTCTCCGTGTCAGTAGGGATGGTCTATTATTGCCCCTCTTGGCCATAATTCAGTCTTTCCGCATCCCTGCTCCGTTGCTGTTCCTTCGGCTCCCTCTGATTTTTCTTTCTAGTAATGTGATGCCCAGAAATGACAACTAGCACAGTACAGAGCGGGATTTCTGCTCCCTCGCAGTCCAAGGGAACTTGGACTTTTTTGTTCCTATTATGACATTGCAAACGCGTATCCCATTTACTAGCCGCTGTCTCCCCTTAGCATTTCTCAGCATTGCAGCTTTCTAGGTTCCTGCCCTCTGGGCAGTGGCTGTAGTAAAGATGAGCTTTCCTCAGGTGAGCTAGCTGCATTTGTTAAAAAGCTGATTCTCACTGTTTTTTACCCAGACTTCTTATCTCTCTGCAGCTGCCGGTGTAGTGTTGGATTACCCTCACTGATGTGTGCAGCTCCTCACAATTTAGTGTCATCTGTGAGTGTCACTTACTGCATAACCCCTCTAGAATCATAGAACTGGAAGAGACCTCAGAAGGTCATCAAGTCCAGCCCCCTGCTCTAGGCAGGACCAATTCCAACTAAATCAACCTGGCCAGGGCTTTGTCAAGCCGAGACTTAAACACCGCTAGGGATGGAGACTCCACTACTTCCCTAGGGAACCCATTCCAGTGCTTCACCACCCTCCTAGTGAAATAGTTTATCCTAATATCCAACCTGGACCTCTCCCACCACAACTTGAGACCATTGCTCCTTGTTCTGCCATCTGTCACCACTGAGGACAG